CATTTTGTTTTAGAGCTTTAAGGGCATCTAGGTGGTCTTATTTCAGCAAATACCTGAGTTTAGGTTTGTACTTCAGATATTGGTAACAAGTATTGACCAGGGTAGACTTAAAATGCTCAGACGCTAATGCTGACAAGGGTGTAAGCATAGAAACTTGGGCATAAAAGTTTTCAAGTTTTTTACTTATCTTGAATAACTGCGGGGCCAGCAAAACTTGGGACCAAGTGACAGCACCTCAAGCAATCTCTTATCCAAGTGCAACGACGTAACATTGGTAACATACCTTCCCAGTTCCGGGGGGGGGGATAAAGTATTTGCCTTAGTTGTGCAAACCTGCCGCCGCAATGAGGCTAAGCGTTTTTCCTCTTGCTTTGTGACTGTTCGTTGAACAAAGGTATCGAATTGTTTGCGCTCCACTGCCTCCAGTTTGTCCTATGTGAATACGCGCACCGATTACACTCCAGCTCCTCAAGTCTCGAGGCAACGATTTCACGCTCGTCCAAGGTTTGCCGTTTCAGCGCCACATTAGTTGGATTAATCAGATTTCTACGGAGTATTTTGTCAAAGTGTTTAGGATATTCGCAACGCGAAACACATTCATCAAAGACCCGCATTGTCATTTTCGCTAACCTAAGTTTTGTGCAGAACTTAACCTACTGACTAAGCCCTTTGAGCACAACGGGATCCTTGAATTTTTTCATGTGGAAAAGTATCCCAGATGTGGACATCAGGACAACAACGTAACTTTGTTCTGATGTTCACGCCTGGGAAATAATATGTTCAGGTACAGCCTACGAGACACATTCAGTTTTTCAGACTCCATAAGACAGCTTCAGCTAACCGGAAGAAAGATGTTTTCATTGAATGTGGTGTCGCTCTTCACCAATACTCCATTAGAAGAGAAAATAGACCATATATCTGACATCATTCGAGACCATCAATTAGGAGTCGACCTTTCAACTGATTGCTTGAAACAGCTACTCATGTTGTGTACTAGTAACATGCAATCTCAGTTTAACGGGGCCGTATACAGTCACAAAGATGAAGTAGTAATGGGCTCACCGCCTGGACCGCTACTAGCTGATGTGTTCATGGGCAAATTAGAGAATACATATCTGAGCGGAGTCATTACTGGTCTGCCATATTACGGACAACATGTGGATGATATATTTTTCGTGACAGACAGGCACTGTTGCTCAGAGACAATTTTATCCCATTTTAACTCAACACACCCTAATGTCAAGTTCACCCTAGAAACTGTAGGCAATGACATGATGTCCTTCCTAGACGTTCAGCTTAGTAGAAGACCAGATGAATCGGTCCACCGGAGGGTGCATAGAAAAGCAACGTGGAACGGACAATATATACATTTTGCCAGTTTTGTCCCAATAAATCAGAAAAGCAACCTGATTAGATGTCTAACCGAAAGGGCCAGAAGGATTTGTAGTGAGGACACACTTGCGGACGAGCTCAGTTTTTTAAGTGGCGTTTTCGAGAGTGCTGGCTATCTAGAAAAAATTGTTTGGAAATATATGGAGTGCAGAGAAATGAGAGCTAAACCGGATTCGGTAGAAAAGAAACCGGTTTATCTGTCGTTGCCGTTCACGGGGGATGGTATAGTGCCGGCAACATCTAGAAGGTTATCCGACGCTATGAGCCATACCTACTACACAACAAGTTTGCGGCTAAGCTTTACTTCTGCACCATTCGTGTGGCCTCAACTCAAAGACAGACTTCCTTGGTCATGTGCTACTTACTGCGTATATTCCTTCTCTTGTTCCTATCGAGCAAGATACATCGGAAGAACTACTAGGAGGCTGTCTGAGAGAATACGTGAGCATTGTCCAGCTAATCTATACAATGGTGGGATCGAAAGTGTGAGGAGCGCCGTGTTAACACACGGTTGATTCTAATCACCAAATCGACACCTGCTAATCTTTCCAACCCATGTACCGTGAAATGAAGTCACTGACGACTAAACTGGATGCCGCTGGTCGTTCTTGCCTTCCGGGATGGAGTCCACGCGACTCGCATCGTGCTTAGATGGAGACTTAACAGGATCTGACTCGCAGTCGACACCAGTAGAGAGTCTGCTGTCGTCTCGTAGTCGGACTGTCTGTTTAATGTATGTTTGGTGCTGGGTTATCTGCGGGATAATGGCTGATTATGACGTAGGCAGCGAAAGCCGAAAGGTAGCTATCTCGCTGGTACTGCCTTACCTTTACACGATAACCAGATATTTCTGACGGTATGTTGTTAACACAAGGTGTAGGCGCCTTGATGCGGAATGTTTGCTTAGGGCATTAAGTCCTCCCTTCTCTCCCACGTATCATTCTTTATTCCATAGGTTACCATGATTGTACGGCAGCAAAGCATCAGTTTGAGTGGCTCATGTACTGCTGTTGCTGATTGGGAGGGAGTCATAACACTTACTTCAGCTTGAATCCGACGACAAGAACTCACAAATGCTTCAAATTCGTCTCAACGTCGCCCTATTCACCCGCTTTGAATGACTGGAAAAGCCTGCAGAAGCCCACTATCGACGCAAGGAGAAAGATGGGGTTTCTGCCTTTGACGCAGTTACCACAGAAACATCATTTCGAGTCATTGTGCAATGAACCAAAAGCAAAGCAGATGACAAGCCTTCATGCTCGCTACAACTCTAGAAACATTAGATCGTTCATCAGACCACTTCAGGCCCTCTTTTGAGTAAACAGGGCCCATTTCAGCTAATTTGTAAAGCCCAAAGGCACTAGAAGATAGCAGAAGTAATGTTGTTTGTTGGGTGAGATGGAAGTGAAGGGCCAATAAAGAAAAACCGACTCACTTCACGAATTCCCCAACCAAAGCCTTCAGTTCGTCCAAACTCATCACTGAAGTGAACTTAGTGTACAACTCATCTCCAAGTTGTTTCAGTGTCGTATGCGAAGACATGCTAGACACATGGACAACTCTGCGGAATTGAGGTAAATTGCTCCAGTGGATACCTGGCGTTCTCTGCGAGAAGAGGAAGAAATTCCAATGTGAAATCAAAGGTGCAGGTAAAATTAGTGTGCACAGTAACCCTAGCTTGTTCACCAAACGGAGCTGTTGAGGCAACCTGCAACGTGATGGGTAAACCATTGAAGTTACTTTATATGCAATACCAGCATTATTAATGGCGATGTTGATCCCGTCTGGATAATGAGCTTTCATGTACGCCAGGAAACTTTTCCGGCTCTCAGCATCGGTAATATCCAGCTGATGGAACTTAACCTGGAGGCCTCTGCCTTTTAATTCCTCACATGCTTTTTTGCCCAAGTCAACATTTCGAGCTGCACACCAGTTGGATAACAATAGAAAGTTACCTGTTAGGTAGACGTCCCACTCTCCGGTGGAACCATAAGCATGAGCCAATTTGGTAACAATTCCAAATCCTATCCCTTTATTGGAACCAGTAACCTGAGGGATGAGAAAACCACTAAAAACTTACGAAAGCAACCTTCATAGCCAGGAAACAAACTGATTGCGCAAGTATGTCAAAGCCACAGTGCTCTTTGCTTGCCTAACTTTGAATCTCCCCTGAAAAGCACAGAATTGGAAATGCTTGAAGAAAAGTGAGCGAGAAACGTGGAGTTTGCCATTTTTGTCTAACTTAAAAGGGATACGAAGCTTCAAATAACTCAGATACCCGGACATGCAGATTTCCTGTGCGGTATGAAGTTTCAAGCATCCCGCTCTCTCAAAAGGTCCTTAGAAAGAATATGAAATTTGTCGATTCATCTCCATCTTCACCTGTGAAAATTCGGTTATCAGACCGCATTGCATTTAGACGACTCTTGCGTGGTGCAAACTTGGGACAATGATTTTAGATCAGTCATACGACTGCGAAGTCAACTTTATTTTAGCGGATGCTTTCCTGTCTTGATTTGGTGAAACTAAATCGTATTTTGCCAGAGCAGACTCCGCATATTCTAGATCTCGTGCTCTCCCCGGCAGATTCGGATGTCACGAACCTAACCTTTCTTCATCTCATAGGCAATAGTGATTATTGTGTTGTTTCATTCCAGTGGGTTCGCCGTCTCATAATAAGTAGCTACGGTGGTCACCGACGGAATTTTTGCGTGCGGATCCACTCCGTCTGAAAATGGATTGGGGTATCCCTGAATACATTCACCTTGACGACACGTGGAATCTTGTAGTTTCCAAAATGACGTCGCTAACTGAGCAGGTTGTTCCTTCCTCCCATCAAAAGCCCTTCACTAGAGGTCCACCTTGAATGGATAGAAAATTGAGGTCAACTATGAATAGAAGGCGCAAATTATGAGGCCGCTTTAAGCAATCTCAATCAGAACCTGACTTCTCTCACTACAAGACTGTCAGAAATGTTTGTGTCGTGATGAAACGTCAGAAACGCCGACAATACGAACTATCATTGGCACAACACTCCAGAATCGCGCTTAAAGTGCTCTACTCTTATTTGAAAAAAGCACTAGAGCTGGTAATGGCATCCTTGCTTTGTGTTCCTGTGATCATCAAGCTTTAATTCACGAGGACGCTGAGAAAGCCAGTCACTTGGCTAAGCAATACGCTTCTGTTTACGCGAAAGAAACTCCACTTATTGACAGTCGTATCCACCTTTCCATCTACGTTGGCCCAAGTTGATATTAACACTGATTCTGTGATGAAACTTCTTCTTGAGTTAGATCCGTATAGCTCACCCGGTCCTGATGGATCGCATCTTTTGTTCCTCAGGACTGTGGTGGAGCACATAGCTTCACCCATTTGTCAAGTCTTTCGTCGCTCACTGGAAGGTGGCCGTCTTCCTTCAGCTTGGAAAGTGGGTATCGTCAAACCCATCTACAAAGGAGGAATTCGACATGATCCAGCTAATTATCGTCCAATCTGTTTGACGTCAATAGTGTGGAACGGATCCCAAAACAGGCTATTCATCTTGGGGGACAGAATTTCATTTGTTATACCCATCATGGGTTCCGAAATACACGCCCTCTGTACCTCGAACTTGCGCGTTGCTAAGAAAACCTGAGCAAGGGCGCTAGGCTCCGGCAAACGCTTGGACGTTGTGTTTGTTGACTTCAGCAAAGCTTTTGACAAGGTCCCGCATTAACGACTGCTGTTTAAACCTCAAGGAATCGGTATTCCTGGGAACTTCCTGCCTTGGATCTCCGACTTCCTAAACGACCGCTCCATGCAAATGAAGGTGACTGGCACATTTTCTGATCCTGTTCTCATGAAGAGTGGGGTCCCACTGTTATAGCGGAGGTAAGAATACTCCACAACTCTCAGTTGTTTTGTGTTTTATTCCACTCACCCCTATTCACCCGTCCTCTTTTACGGTCCCCCACATACGTTTCTATTACCTCACCTTTGTGACTAGCTTGGGTTGACACTGAATCTTATGCTTAATGGTTTTTCCCTTACTCTGTACATTTCGCTGGTTCGTGAGACATCGTATCGATCCTTCGCCCCGGGAATGACTAGCTTTGATTGATCGATTGTCAGCCTTTCTGCATAGCCTGTGTATATGCCCTAATTTGAATCATGTCATTGGGTTGCACACACAGACGTTTGGTGGCCGGTTTGGCGTGCGGCGTGAAACATTATTTTCTATCCGGTCGTTGGTGTTCTCACTACCGTTAGTGGGTGGAAGCAGTCGTGGGGCTCCGACACAACACCCACAGAGCTCTGTCCTCGGTCCTGTAGGACTAGTTAATACTAGTCCGAGACGGTGCGCGAAATTAAGCGCGGATATCAGAAC